GAAGAGACAGATAGAAGACATCAAACTTATCAGTGGATATTTAGAAGTTTAAGACAATAAGCAACACACCTAGTTTCTGCTGCAGAATCATCTTACCTGACTGTTTACAAGTCAGTTGTTTCCTTGAATCATCCTTTGATCTTTTATTTGTCTCTCCCCCCACCCCAAACTATGCCTCCTTAAGTAGATTGAGCTACACACATAAGATTTCAGGACATCCTTTGATCTTTTATTTGTCTCTCCCCACCCCCACCCCCCAAACTATGCCTACTTAAGCGGTTTGAGCTACACACATAAGGTTTCAGGGGTTACACTCTACTTTCTCATATGCATGAAATGTACTCTTAGTGTATCTATGTCTGTGTGCATGGGCATGCACATGTGCACACATGCGCATGCATGCACACACACATTTAGAGTATATGAGGACATATTAATGTCTGTTGTAAGTGTGATGTCTGTTGTAAGAAAATTACTAGCCATCGTTAATATAAGATCTGGTGATGGCTGCACAGGTGAGGAGCTGGAAAAGACAAATAATTTTTAGGAAGGTGAATGGCTAGGATGAATACATTTAAATGGAGCTTCCACCTGCAAGGTCAGTATAGCTCTGAACAGCTGCTAAGCCAAATGGCAGGAAGAGGCCATCATGCTTTGCCTTCTGGCTTTTGAAAGTCTCCGGCTAGCCATTTTAAGAAAGAGGATATTGGCCTAGGTCAACATTAGCAAATGCCTCTCTCCCCCTCCCCAGCTTTGGACAACAGGCTATGTTGTGTTGAGTTGCTGGGCGTTGTAGCCCCAAACGTCTGAGAAGTCCACCATTTCCTCCATGCCTGGACTGGAATATATGGATGCTTAGCTTGATCCAAGTATCATAGCCTTTTCTTTAGGTTTTCATGTTTCTGCTGAGAACAGCACCCGTGGTATTCCTAAAAAGTCCCTGAAGTTGCAAGTCTGAAATCAAATGTTTTCAACATGTATGGGAATCAAAGGTTCATTTTAAGTTGCACGAATTCTTACAGTGGGATTGATCCCTGAGTTAGCAGGCATCGGATTGCACTCTGGGCAGTGTGCTGAACATCTGACACCTAAGATTTAATTGCTGCATAGGAAGCACCCCTTTTTCTCTTGGAAACAGCGGGGAGCACCAGCAAAGGAGCAATCCGGTTCATGCAGAAGGAAACTCTAGTCCAGTTCAAATGGCAGCTCCCCCCTCGTCCCACAACCGGCCAAAAGAACACACCGGGCTGCCACCTCCGGGCTTCTGCGCGCGAACCTCCCCCAGTTACCTGTAATGGAACGAAAGAGCAGGCAGACAAGCCGTTCCCTTGAAAGAGTGATGGTTGCCCCCAAGTTTACTCGTGCGTGTTTAGTTTCTCCTAACGTCACTAAGCGATGACTTGGGTTCGGGAACTAGCCGTCGCAGCAGATCAAACACCAGCGCGGGGTCATCACGCCACGGTCACCGGATACCACCCCAAAAGCATCGCTGTTTAAAAGAGGCTGCTCTCCTGGGCCGCCGCGTGACGTTATAAACACGCTTGTGTCTAGCCCTGCTCGTGTGAATCAGCTCTCAGGGAACGTTGCCCAAACGTTGTCTTTACGAACAGGAGTTCGTTGTATTTTCTGAACGAGAAAGTCCAGACAAACAATTGGTCTAAACTCTGCATTGGAAGCCTATGGATGTCTTGCTTTTCGTGAAAGGAAAATGCTTTTTTTTCAGCCCGCGGGGCATTCTGACAGCCTCTCCGCGTCTGCCGGACTGGGGCGCCCTGCGTGCCGGAGGCCGTGTGCGGAAGGGCGGCCCGAGGGAGAGGCTGCTGACCTGCCCGAATCGGGGTGACTTCAGCAGGCAGGCCTCTCTCTCCAGGATCAGGTCGAGAAACCAGTCCGGGTGGGAGGCCGCCGGGCTGTGGCGGAGACCCGCTGCCGATCCGACCCGAAACGCCCTGCTCGTTGCCTCGATGGGCGGCCCTTCATATGGACTCCCACCACCTCTGTGCTCTTACCCGCGACTGCTGCTGCTACTATTCCTACTTAGATCTACTCCCACACCTCCGTCTCCGGGGGTTATTGATTGGTAGCGCACTTCCTCAAATTTCGGAAACAGTGCCGGCCACTTTCTGTCTCCCCGAAATCTCTCTCTCTCTCTCTTACAGGGGAACCCCTTTTTCTGGGCAGGACGCGTCCCTGCGGCGTTGACTCCCGGGGGAGCCTGAAGGGGATCGTGGCCCTTCCCGCGCAAGCGCATCAGCCGCTCCTCCGCCTCCCGACGGCAGTTCCTCCCGTTTTCGACGGACGTCGTCGTCCTTAGCTGACCGCGGCTCCCTGCAGCTGCCAGGCGGGCGTCCTTGCCAGGCAAACGCCCTTCGCAGCTCGCTCGCTCGCTCGCTCGCTCCGTCCAAACGAGCGCGGGAGAACCGGCCTCGGTCAGAGGCGAGTTGACTCGAAGGAAAAGCGACCTTGGCGGCGAAGGGCGAGAAATCGGATTATTATAGGACGGGGAGGGGAGAGAGAGAGAACTCTTCCCCATCTGCTTTATGCCTGGGCTCGTGTGTCGGGTAAGGAGCCCGCATCTTTGTGGCTTTTCCTCGCTCTTTGGAGAGGCGAGGAGGGGGTCCCGAAAGCCATTCCGGCGGAATAGGGGGGAGTTTTCTGATTCTGAACAGATCCGGTTCACCCGGGGCCTGTGATCCCTCCTAGGCCCTGGCGAGGCCAGGTCGCTTTTTCTCTCGAGTCGCCCCGGTGGCGGCGGAGGGCTTCGGGCCTCCCTTGCCTCCTTTTGAGCCTCTCCCGGGAGCCGGGACCTGCCGCCCGGCCGCGCAGCCGCCCTCCTTCTGCCCTAGGCGGCTCCCCTGGGGGGGGCGATTTGCTCCACGAGGTCGCTCTGTCTTAAGGAAGGAAGGAAGGAAGGAAGGAAGGAAGGAAAGAAAGGAGAGAGGCAGGCAGGAAGGAAGGAAGGAGAGATGAGGAATGTAGCTACCGCAGGAGACGTGAATGATTTTGAAATCTATTGATTTCAGCGGGAGTCCCGTCACTCTGTCGTCGCAACGTGCTCCCGGCAAACGATTTAGCCGGGATCTTAACCTTCTGCATTTTACTTTTAAAGGAAAACCGAAATCGGGCTGGCCTTCCCTAAAAACGACGATTTATGGATCCCAGGCGGAGGGGAAAGCAATGGAGAAAAGTTGGGCGCATTGGTATCTAGTCCCTCGGTTTTGTTGCTCTCTCAAGACCTCAAAGGAATTGATGCCGACTGCAAAACGTACGATATTGTATCATAGTGAACGCATGGGCATCGCCCTCCCTTAATCTGAAAGTGTGTTGATGATGAGACTGTCGTCTTCGGTATCCTATTTCCTAACACGTGCGTATAAATCTGGCCTCAGTGTGGTGCCTCATGGCCCTGAAGAAGTGGGTTGTAATCCTCAGAAACCTTAGAATGCAATCAATTATGGGGCTGGATTTAAAGGTATTCTTATTCTTATTAGCCTTTGTTCCACAAGTTTGAGGTGTGCGTGTTTTTAAATCTAACTCTTCCCCCTCCCTCGCCGCCCTTTGGTGCTGAGAGGACTTCCGCGCGTGGGACGGGATCGCTCCGGCCTTTGCTGCCCTTTGGCCCTCGGCGTCCCTTGGCGCCCCTTCTTTTCAAAGCTCCCGTCTTTCTTTGGGAAAGAGCCCTCTCGGTTTCAAACCCGCCTGCCAAAGGATCGTCGCTTTGGCCGCCTAGCGCAAAAAGCGAGCAAGCAAGGAAGGAAACAAGCAAGCAAGCAAGCGAAGAGGCAATCCTGCCTTGTCTCTGAAATAAAACCACTCTAACTACAGGCATGCGCGCACTTGCGGACGGACTAAGGAAAAGTTATATATATAATAAATAAAATCATTTGCAAGTGTTTTTTTTAAGGGAGTGGTTTATTTGGCATGCCGAGGTGCGGGGTGGGGGCGAGAGACGGAGGGATTGAAAAGGGACCGTTGTCGCCAAGTAATTGTACAAAGTTCGCGGCGCAACGGCGAGGCCAGAAGCCCCGGTTCGAAATAATCAGGCCCGATTTATTCCGACGGAGTGACAGCTCTTTTGAACGGGAAGCGAAAGGCGTTTTCTGTCTCTCTGAAAGCTTTTCTTCCAGATTGTGTTCAGATTAGGCTGGGGGGATGAATGGCGGCTTTATCCAGAGCAGGGGCTTTTTTGAAATGCCAAATTAATTACCAAGGCCTGAATCAAGGCAATGGGGACTGGAGGAGGCAAGGAGCAGCAGAAGGGGAACAAGAAGGAGTGGGCGCGGAGAAGTGCAGGAGACAGGAGAGAGAGATTTTTCTCTCTCCGGGACGAGTAAAAAGCTCTCGGGGTTGCAGCCCTTGAACGTCACTCAGGCCAAGGTAGCTGGGAAGCGGGGCTTGAGGGCGGCCAGCGAAGGGCGCCCGGCCGATCCGGGATTCCCGGCCTCCTGGAGCTCGGCGTCTTTTCCCGACCGCCAAACCCGCTCCCCAAATTCCGGCGGCCCAAAGAGAGCGCGCGCGGAGGCCACGGGGACCCGAGGGCTCTGGCGCGGCCGGNTCCCAGAGCAGATCTCCAGACCGGGACCGGAGAGGGGGGCTCCCAGCTCTTCCACTTCGCTTGCACGGTTGATCCCCCCCCCGCTTTTTGCATAATTGCCGCGAGCAGCTCTCCCGGCCTCCCCCCCACCCCGTCCCAGGTAAGCAGGGTGAGGCCAATTCCCTGGCCACCTGCCGAAGGAACGGGGCTCGGTTCCCACCCAGCTTCCGAGCCCGCTTCCCGTCGGCGCTCCACTTACCTTCCCCGGAGGGCGAAGAAAAGGGCAACCTCGCTACCTCTCTGCCTCGGAAAGGGTGCCGGGGGTCGAGGGGGCGGCGCGCCCGTTGACGAGCGCTGCTCCGGGATCCCGCGCCAGGGCCCACCGGAGTCCCCTCTTGGAGTCTTGGATCGCTTTCCGTAGAGCCCCCTGGGCAAAGCGACCTCTACCTGACTGGGCGTGTGGTTTTCCCCCCTGTCTGGTGCGTTCGGAATGTGTTCGAGGGTCTTCTCCCTCTAGAATCTCTCTCGGGTCGAGGGATAATTGTCTTAGGAAAAGAGAGGGGGTACGGGGGGGGAGTTCAACGATCCGGACGCCTCCTCCTCCTCCTCTTCTGAGCAAAAAGGAGGGATTAGAAGATGGGGGCACCCCCTCCTTTGTGCCTCCCTAGACACCCCGAGACCAAGAAGGTGGAAAGGCTGACAGGTCCCCGGAGTGGCCGCGCTCAGACGTTCCGGGACGCCAAAGGAATCGAGGGAGGGGAAACAGAGCCCTGACCTCAAACTTTCCCCACGCTTGGCTCTTGCAGGAACTTGGCGGGGGGGAAAGGGATGGGGGGGG